GCCATCTTCTCTTGATGTTTCCTGCATCATTCAATATTTTGCCCATAGAATCTCTCACTATTGCAACTCGAGGCTTAAATTTATTCTTCAGTTCTTTCAGTTTGAGAAATGCTGAGCGTGTTCTTCCTCATGTAAATATTTACCCTATGTACCTATCTGTTGTTTGGCTGGAAGTCATGGGAGATTGGATACTTATTTTAATCCTTTGCTTTTACTAGAGTGGTGCTGACTTGGGTTTTGCAGAATAACTAAGCAATTCTGTAGTATGTGAACAGGATAAATGTAAGCCTTTCTATTTGCACTGTAGTTTCTAAGACATACTGGACAGCAACAGGAAGACCCTGGGGCACATGTAGGCAGATCTGATCTGCTGCCCTGAGCTGTCTTCACTGGCTTGGTGGCTATGGGCCTGCCACTGCCCCTCTCTGGGTGCTCATGTTTCCCTTCAATATAAGAGTGGGAAAGGGGAGGTCAGCTTCAGAGTCCATGGAGCTCTCTTTCTTTGCTGCTAGCCACAGCAGACCCATCCCATGCCCCCCTCCACTTCAACTGAAGAAACAGGAGCAAATCCAGTGAGGCCTGGCAGCTCTCCTCTGGACAGTCTGGACTGGATCATTCCCAGCCTCACCAGGAAGGCTGTTGTTCTTGGCAGGTGAAGGTTGGGCCTTAATGTCAGAGCTCTTGAGACAAATGGGCCTCTGGTGGCTTCACCCCATTCCACATCCTCACTGCCCCGTCTCCCCCCACCCTGAAGATGTGCTAATTCTCACCATCACCCCTGGATTCAAAACCTTTGCTTTCAGGGGATACCCAAAACTCCAAGAATTTGCTCTCAATTCTTCTCTCCCTCCCTGTTTTCAAGGCAGAACCCTTGACTGGATCGGATATACCTGATAAACAAAGAGTTTGCCTTGGGTCCTGGCCTCCCTAATCTGCTCTTCACCTTCTCTCCCTGCTCTTCCTCCCTTCTCTCCCCAACCTGGGGGTGGTCATTTTTGAGCCCCTTTTCAAGAAACATAAGCTAATGGGATTTAGGGAGCTGTGGCTCATAGCGTTATTTGCTTTCAGCTAGGTAAGGAATCCCTATTTGGATCAGGTCAAGGACTGATACTGGTTAAGTGTGATAGTTACCATGCTTGGTGGGAGGAGGTCTTTCCTCTATGGGCTTCCTTAGGATTCCTGAAATCAAATCATCTGCTCTGTTCCCTCAACTGAAGTCAGCTGCCTGCTCTAGATTAGGGAAGAAAACAAATCTCCCCACCCTCCTTTTTTCTTTTTCAGTTCAGCTCAGGCCCATGGATCTGCTTAATGGACTTGCCTAAGGGTGGATCTTGAGTGCTGATCACTGGAAGACACTGTTGCCCCAGCTGCCTCCGGGAGCTTCCCATGAAGTTGAGTGGCCATTTCTCCTTACAAATACTAGTGATGTGAGTGTCCCACACCACACCCACCCAAGCCATCCAGGTATCAAAATGCCAGTGAGACAGAGAAACCTGGCTCAGAGGGGAAACTGAGAGGTATTCCAAGAATGAGAGCTGGTAAAACAATGATCCCCAAACCCATTGCTGCCAAGTGTTGTCTTAGTCCATTCAAAACCCAATTGCCCCAGTTAAAGTCATTGTTTTTTGACAAAAGTGCCAAGATCACTCAGTGGGAAAATATCTGTCTTTTCAACAAATGATGGTGGGACAACTGGATAGACACAAGCAAAACCATGAACATGGATTCCTTCCTCATACAATATAAAAAATTAACTCAAAATGGATCACAGACCTAAATGTAAGAGCTGAAACTATTAACACTCTTAAAAGGAAAACACAGGAATAAATCTTCAAGATCTTGGATTAGACAGAGCCTTCTTAGGTATAGCACCAAAAGCACAAACAAAAGAAAAAATAAGATAAACTCAAGTTCATCACAATTTAAAACTTTTATATCTCATAGGATACCATCAAGAGAAAAAAAGACAACCCACAGAATGAGAGAAATTATTCACAAATCATATATCTCATAAGGGACTTATATCTAGAATACATTAAAAACTTACCATTCAACAATAAAAAGATGAACAATACAATAAAAAATGTGCAAAGCACACGAATAACCATTCCTCCAAAGAAGATAAACAAACGGTCAATAAGTACCTGATTTGATGGTCAACATCATTAGTCATTATGTAAATGCAAACCCCAACCATAATAAGATACCATTTCATGTACACTAGGATGGTTATAATAAAAAAGACAGACAATAACAAGTATTGGTGAGGATGTGGAGAAACTGGAACCTTCTTGTATTGCTGGTAGAGAATGCAACTGCTTTTTGGCAGTTCCTCAAAAAGTTAAACATAGGATTCCCATAAGATGCAGGAATTTACTCCTAGACATATACCCAAGATAAATGAAAGATATGACCACACTATGCGCAAATGTTCATAGCAGCATTATTCATAATAGCCCCAAAGTGGAAATAACCCAAGTGTCCATCAACTGATGAATGGATAAACAAAATGTGGTTTATCCTTGCAATGGACTATTATTTGGCTATAAAAAGGACTGAAGTACTGACACACACTACAACATGGATGGACCTTGAAAACATCATGCTAAATGAAAAAGCCACACACAAAAGATGATTCCATTTATGTGAAATGTCCAGAATAGGCAAATCTATAGAGACAGAAAATAGGTGGATAGTTACCTAGGGCTG